TCGGAAGACCTCGGTGGGGAAAGCGGTGGTAAAGGAGACGGACTCGTCGAAAGTGGTGTCACGAGAGTCAACGAATCGGTGAGTCGACGGGTGGTAAAAGAGCCTGTCAGACGAGTTAAGGGGGAAACCGAGGAAGACACAGGGGATGGTGCGGGCAGTGAGCTTGTCCGTGCCAGAGGCACGAACGTGAGCCAGGCAGCCCCAGACGTGGAACGCAGACGCATCACCGGGGAACCCGGTCCAAATTAGGGATGGCAAAAACTGCGGCCGCGGGGAGCGCGGCCGTAGGTTAAGCTGGTGAGCTGTGTAGCAAACAGCGAACGGCCACAGAAAATGGGGTGCACCGGCATGAATCATGGAGGTACGAGCCACCTCCATGACCAAACTGATGCGTCGCTCAGCGACCCAATTCTGCTGCGGGGAGTCTGGCAGGGTGTACAACTGGGTGATGCCCTTCGCACGACAGAACTGTCCAAGTCGATCAGAGGCGAACTCGCCGCCAAGGCCGGAGTGTAGACACAGCATAGAGAGACCGCGGTGGACACAGACAGCTACGACCCACGAGATAAGAATGTCAGGCACGCCGGCCTTCCACTCCAGGGGAAACACCGTGGTGTAGTGCGTGTAGTTGTCAACAAGCACGAGGAAGTCACGCTCGCGACGTAGTCTGGGGACGGGGGCTGGGCCCCAGACGTCCGTGTGCAGGGTCTGAAGGGGTGCGGAGGCCGGGCGAAGCGAGGAGGAATGAGGAGCACAACGCAGCCGGCCCTCGACGCAGGGTGTGCACGGTAGCGCAGGCGAGGGGGGGAGGGCGGGAAGCGACACAGGGAGACCTAGGACGAGATCGTGCTGAGACATGTGACGAGAACGGGGGAGTGCGGGGTGACCTAGATGGTGGTGCCACAGAAGGAACGGGTGAGTGAGCGACCCACACGAGCAAGCCGCAGTGACGTGTGTAAACGCAGGGCCCATGGATGACGTGCCATCCGTGGAAGCAGTGTCCACAGTAAACAGGCCAGACACCGAGTCCCGGGGGTACGTCGCAAGGGGAGAACCTGAGGTGGCCTCGGTACAAACAGCCTACCGCTTGTGACGAGAGAACGTAATGGTGACGCCGAAGTCCTGAAGATAGCCGACACCAACGAATTTGCTGGGGAATGAAGGGATGTGCAAGCCTATAAGGGAACCCGAGGGGACCGCTAGACAGAGAAGGGTAGTGGAGCTGCAAGCTATGACAGGACCACACGAGGGGTCAGCAAGAGCGACAGTGGAAGGCGCTGCAAGCGGCGTGAGTGTGGCGCGGTCACGAAAGAAGCAGGCAGATGCACCGGAGTCCAGAGTGTAGGATAGCGAGGCAGTAGCGGCAGACAAAGGAGGAGCAAGTGTGGATCCTAGGCTAGACAAAGCAGACGATCCTATGCCTGATGCAGCAGGGGAGTCTATACTATACACGGGAGCTACGCCTAAGCTAGAGAACACAGGTTTATAAGATTCAGACACACTAGAACCGTCAGCATACAGAGCATGCAGGGCATAACTAATCTGATCCATATCTAACTGAAAGATGGGCACACCGTGGCACAGCAGACTAGACCAGTCACGGAGGTCCGGGGCCGGGCTGAAGCGACGACGAAAGAGGTCGTCGAGGCGGCGGAAGCAGCGGGCGGCCGGGTGTGGGCTGCGGCACACAGTGCTACAGAGGGGCCTGGTCTGGAGCTGGTACTGGCAGGTCACAACACCAAAGCTACCGAAAGACACCGAGCTGCGAGGGCCGCCACCGCGGCCACCAACTCCGGAGGTGCCTGGCCACCCTGGGGGGAGGCGGGCCCACGACTGTGGCTGCTGCGGCTGCGCCTGCTGCGGCTGCGACTGCTGCTGCTCCGGGACACCTGCCACAACCCCCTCGTTAGAACCACTGTCGCCGCAACCACCACCACTACCACCAGCGCCACCACCACGCCCTCCCTTGGGGCCATGACGGCCCCGGCGCTGACGCTGCTGCGGGAAGACCGCCGCAGCGAGCTCTGCAAGAGAGGTTGCTGTGGCGACCGCAGCTGAAACGTTAGCGTACGTGCAGTGGGAGGGGGCATAGCCCTGAAAGATAGAGACTGCCGCAACACCGCTCGACTGTGCGATAGTGCGCTGGCGAGTCTTGATCTCGGACAGGGCTGTGACAAAGGCAGTCAGGGTGAGGTCTCCAGGGTGCAAGCTAAGGAAGTGGTCACGGGCACTGGCTAAGCGATCAGGCAAACGCATGGCGATAAGGTATAGGGTGATGCAGAATGGTGGGGGGAGAGCTGTGAGCTGGGCAGCAGTGCTAGCAGTTCGGTAGCGAGTCTCTAGTGTGCGGAGGTGAGTCGCGAGGTCAGCGACTGTGGGAAAAATGGCTAGATAGGGAAACAGCATGGGAAGAATCAGGCGGCCTGCAGAGGCGGAGGCGGGCGTGGAATAGCGGGCAACTACGGCATCTATAAAGTCTTTGGTGTTCGCGACAGTAGTGAAACGCGGACGCTCAGACAGGGGAAGAGCATGACTAACAGCGAGCTGCACTACAGCGTCCCGGGAATCCCAAACAGCGCGAGCGAGCGCAGCAGCTGTGAAAGCCTCACGCTCAGCAGGGGTGGGGTCTACAGGAAGGGGATCAGGCGTGGGGGGGCGGGGCAGCAGGCCATCAACATGCATAGCTAGGGAGTGTCCATCCTGGCGCTGACCTGTGAGATGACGGCGGAGACGAGCCAGGCGGCGAATTCGATCGCGTGGCCCTCGTCGTGCAACTTCAACGGCACAGCTACAGAGCGGTAGAGCGACACAGCGATACAGCGACACGGCGACACAGGGAATCAGCGGCACGGCGGTGCAGCGGCGTGGTGCCAGGACTCTCCAGTTGGAGGACCGAGCGGAGCGCCAGTGGAACCGGGCAGGGGCCGAGCCGCACGAGGGGCCGGGCTGGTGCGGGAGGTGCCAACAAGGTGTGAGGGGCCGGCCGTGCGCAGGAGGGGCCGGCGAGACGAAGGAGGGGCAGACTAGGTATTGGAGAGGCCGACTAGGCGCGGGAGGGGCCGACTGGGCGCGGGCGGCCGGCTGGGCGAGAGAGGCCGACTGGCGCACTAGGGGCCAACTAGGTGCGGGAGGGGCCAACCGGGCGCGATAGGGGCAAACCAGGCGCGAGGGGCCGGCTAGGCGAGAGGGGCCGGCTAGGCGCGTAAGGGGCCAGCTAGGCTAGAGGGGCCGGTTAGGCGCGAAAAGGGCCGACCGGGCGCGAGGGGTCGACGGGGCGCGTGAGGGGTCGGCTAGGCGCGTGTGGGGCCGGCTAGGCGCGAGACACATCAGGCTAGGGCGAGGAGCGGAAGCAGGTGGGTGGACCTACCTATTCATGGTACCATGTCGAGATACTAGAATGATTAAAACAAGAGAGGACAAGTGAGATGTAGCATTTGGGTTGTACTCTCTAAGAGAAAACACCCATTCTAGCCTATAACTTCTACATGCAAATGTATGTATAAGTTGACAGTTGATTGGGACAGGGTCTATCAGATTTGGAGCATTGCCACTCCCACGCCCTGTCGCCCCGCCAGCTATGCAGATGATGATGTCTTGTAAGTTTTTTTTTTTTTCCCTCGGCGTAGACTGCATTAGATGCTTTAGGTTTTCCATTCAAATAATTGGCTTGCTTTTAGTAGTGCTTTACAAATCCATTAATATAAGGAATAAGAACTTTACAAAGTAGTTAAACCATAACTTAAGTTTGGGAACGGGTTTTTATTAGCGAAGCCCTGATTCATCCGCGCATTTCTTCGGGGGACCCTGAGTCTCACGGGAGATTTTCGCGCCAGCACGGATTTTACAGGGTGATTTTTTCAGGGGTCCAACTTGTCCGAGCTACTCAAAATCCTAGCGTCAGCCCTGATCCATAGTTAGGTCGGCTGGGAAATGGACATCAGGAACGACTATCAGGGGTCGGCTGGGAAAAGGACATCAGGAACGAGTATCAGGAGTGGGCTGGGAAAAGGACATCAGGAACGACGAACGGCGTTGCAAGGCGGGGTGCTGACTGCTGTGGGTACACGTGTTTTTTTTTAGGCCTAGTTTGTTTTTCGGACGGCTACTTTAGAGTCAAGCACAAATCTTTTGCGGGCGAAACGGGCCAATAAAGGGTAGTCTGGTTACCTAGCTGGCATTTTCCAGTCTAAAGCGGGTGACCGTTGTTGTTTCTTTTGCGTTTCTCGGGCAACAGTCTATGGCCTGAGAACGTCCCGTCTGCACGTTTGGGGGTCTCAGTATCAGATGAGGTGAGTCTTGTGGACCTGTGGGCCTCTTTAGGCTGAGTCCTTGCCCGTGTGTTCGAATCAATGGGTCTGTAGATAAATGCGTGGCATCTAATGAATGGGCGGTTCACTGGATATCATGTCTGACAGATCGTGCTCGATCCTTTTTGGCAGCATAAGTCACGCCAGCCAATCCAAGTTATGTACAACCTAGCCCGCGGTAATTTCACACCCTGAAACTGGGCGGCAGAAAAACTTTTGTTTCTATCCTGACCATCTCTGAGTGCGTAGACAGTACCCCCTTGCTCCTATGGCCTAACCTTGGCAGACTCTACACGAGCTTGGCAGACTCTACACGGGAAAAACTTTGAGCACTGTCTAAGCTGACGTCAGGTTTCTTGACTCGAGAAACACTAAATCGAGCAGTAAATGTTGCGTATAGAAACCCAAGTTCTGAAAGGTCTTCAAGGGTATCTGGATCTGGTCTTCAGGAGCTGCTTTCGGGGGGTGAGTACTCTCTGTGGCACCCCGTGTGAAAATACTGGGTGTGAAAATAACGCAGGCACCGTGTATTATGCGGTCACCAGCACATCTCGCACGTGTGCCAGCGCACAGGGAGAAGAATTCACTCGAGGGGCACAGCGCGCAGGGGCACATTAACTGTGCCAGACATTTAGAGCCGCTTCCGCGGTACTAGAGTCCCGCGTTACCTCCTATTTTTGGGGGGGATGGTTGATAAGAGCAATTAGTTGTACGGACGGGCAGCCTCAATTTGCCGGCCGCGGAAGCCTCTCCACCGTGCCTGCTGAACGGAAGAGAAGGTTTCTTGATTTTGTGGGGTACCAGAGACTTTTCGATGTTCCCGTTTATTGGATGGGCCCGTGGCTTGGTGGCGTGGGTGGTTGCCGAAAAAGATCCTGCCCTTGTTCTCCGAAGAGAAACAGGAAGCGGGGGACGTCGTTGAGTCTCCACGTTTATTACCTCAGTAGCTCGTAGTTCTATTCACGCATTTCCATCTTCCATCTCCGCCTCCGTCTCCTCCTTCGGCTCCGCTTTCTATCTTCACCACTTCCGCATCTGGTGAGCACGACTACGATCTGCGTTTTATGTTGTTGCTTGTGGTAGATTTAGCTTGTCAATCATCATTCTGTATGCAAACCCGTAAAAGCCGGCTGCATGTGTCAGTCTGTGAGGATTAATGTAGATTTGTGGGATTACTTTTCCTCCGCCCTTTGCTGTGAGACGTACAGCATTTTAGGAGCTGTTCAATTTCAATATGGCCGACGAAGTTCTTCCGGCCGTTGTGTGCGACAACGGATCCGATACGGTGAAGGTGAGTGGCATTGGCATTGTCGTTTTATCCTTCTCGTGGCTTCCATCTAATTTATCGTAAACCCCCTTCCAGGCCGGATTTGCCGGAGATGATGCGCCGCGTGCTGTGTTCCCGACCATTGTTGGTCGTCCTAGAACGTCGGGTTCGATGGTAGGAAGGGATGTCAAGGATGCTTACGTTGGCGACGATGCGCAGTCCAAGCGTGGACTGTTGACGCTGAGGTGTCCGATTGATCGCGGTGAGCTTTTTAACGAGGCTGTTCAATGAACTGCGGAGGTTTTCATTTTCACGTCTGGCTTATGACCTTCATGAGTTTACATTCCAGGCATTGTGACGAACTATAATGACATGGAAATGGTTTGGCACCACACTTTCTACAACGAGCTTCGTGTCACTCCAGAGGAGCGTCCGGTGCTCCTGACTGAAGTTCCTCTGAATCCTCATGCGAATCGAGAGATGATGACGCAGATGATGTTTGAGACTTTCAATGTGCCGGCAATGGCTGTCGCCATTCAGGCTGTGCTCTCTCTGTATGCCAGCGGCCGCACCACGGGTAAGTTGGACGTCTGCTGTTTTCTTGCGCTGCCGCTTTCGCCCTGTCTCTGCTGCTAATCGCTTATTCGTTTTCAGGTCTTGTTCTGGACTCGGGTAAAAGTGTGACACACGCTGTCCCCATATTTGAGGGTCAAGCGCTGACGGATGCAGTTCTTAGTGTGGATATTGGTGGTTTTGATTTGTCTGACTACCTGCTGAAGACCCTGCTTGAGAAAGGTTACTCTGCTGAGCGGGACAGTGCGAGGGCTATCAAGGAGAATCTCGCATTCGTTGCCATGGATTATGAGGCGGAGCTGCATGCTGATGCACAGAACTCGTCCTCTTTTGAGAAGAGCTACGAGCTTCCTGATGGCCAGGTGGTTACTCTTAGTAACGCGCGCTTCATGTGCCCAGAACCGCTGTTCAAACCCTCGATGCTTGGCAAGGAAGGCCTAGGTATCCACGAGTTGTGCTACGAATCCACCATGAAGTGTGACGGCGACATCAGGAAGGACTTGTACAGCAACATTGTGCTAAGCGGTGGTACTACAATGTTCCCTGGACTCGCTGATCGTTTGGCGACGGAGATCACCAAGCTTGCTCCAAGCACCATGAAGGTTGAGGTTATTGCTCCAGCTAAGCGGAAGTACCTTACCTGGATTGGTGGATCTATGATTGCGTCTCAGAGCAACTTCAAGGTGAGCATATTGGCCTTTTTACATTATTCCTTGTATGTTTCCCTTTATGATCTGACTTTTCATTTCTCCTGATGCAGTGGATTTCCAAGGGCGAGTATGAAGAGTCTGGCTCATCCATTGTGCACAGGAAGGGTTGATGTGCCATATTGTGATGACGTATGGCTGGCAGGCTTTCAATTTGGAGTAGTAACCAGCTGCACCTTAGGAAATGATGTTTTCATGCGTGGTGCCACCTTTCTCGTATGTGGCACATTTGTAGACCACTTGTATTCCGATTTGCATTCATCAGAATCCTGCTAGTTGTGAACGAACCTACACATCCATTATGTTCCCCACCTTATTCCACGACCTACTGTACTGTGCATAGCCAGGGTCTCAGATATCATACGAAATCGGTCTGATGGTTTGAAAATCAGACCTGTTTTCTCATTCATCTGATTTTTTGACAGGCTAAATTAATTCGTCTGATCGTCCAGATAAGCCATAATATTTCGTCTGAAAGTACAAACTAGGTGTAGATTTCTGTCTGATATTTTCGATAGTGTGGATTTTTTCGTCTGATACATTCCTTTGTCAACTTATACATATTATCTATGTAGAAGTTATAGGCTAGACTGAGGTATGCTTCTAGTGAGTACAACCAACTAGTATTTGTTCTAGGTTTCCACCTCTAGTAATCATTCGTTTCTACGTTAACATGGTATCACGCTTAGGTTAGGATCCCCCCGCCTACCGCTTCCGCCCGTCGCGCCTCCTAGGCCCCGTCGCGCCCCCTAGGCCCTGTCGCGCCCCCCCTGGGCCCCGTCGCGCTCGTTAGGCCCCGTCGCGCCCCCCCTGGGCCCCGTCGTGCCCGCTGGGCCCCGTCGCGCCTCCTAGGCCCCGTCGCGCTCCCCCTGGGCCCCGTCGCGCCCACTGGGTCCCGTCGCGACCCCTAGGCCCTAACGCGCCCCCGCTGGGCCCCGTTGCGCCTCCTAGGCCCCGTCGCGCCCCCCATGGGCCCCGTCGAGCCCGCTGAGCCCCGTCGTGCCTCCTAGGCATCGTCGCGCCTCCTAAGCCCCGTCGCGTCCACCCCCTCTGGGCCCCGTCGCGCCCGTTCGGCCCCGTCGCGCCCCTCCTAGGCCCCGTCGCGCCCGCTGGGCCCCTTCGCGCTTCCTAGGCCCCGTCGCGCCTGCTAGGCCCCGTCGCGCCCACCCTGGGCCCCGTCGCGCCCGTTAGGCCCCGTCGCGGCCCCCCTGGGCCCCGTCGTGCCCGCTGGTCCCCGTCGCGCCTCCTCGGCCCCGTCGCGCCCCCCCTGGGCCCCGTCGTGCCCGCTGGGCCCCGTCGCGCCCCTTAGGCCCCGTCGCGCCCGCTGGCCCCTGTCGCGCCTGCTGTTAGCGCTCGCCCGCCTGGCCTCCTCCTAGTGCCGCTCGGCCTCCTCCTAGTGCCGCCCGGCCTCCTCCTAGTGCCGCCCGGCCCCTTCCTAGCGCCGCCCGGCCTCTCCTCAGCGCTGCCCGGCCCCTCCTCGTGCCCGACCGGCCCCAGCAGCACCAGCCAGGCCCCTCCCAGCACCAGCCTGGCCCCAGAGCACCTGCCCGCCTCCCCTGCTCGGCCTGCCGTGTCCTCTCGGGCCCTGTGTCTTCTGCTTGCCTGCGCTGGGACGCCTAGCTGCTGCCCTACTGGAGAGTGCTGCCGCCGTGTCCCCGCGCCGCTGTGCTCCTGTGCCGCTGAGGAGCTGTGCCGCTGTGTCGCTGAGGAGCTGTGCCGCTGACCCTGCACGATGGCTGACTTTGTGCTCCGCCTGGACGCTGAGGGCCACGCGGTTGACTTCGCCGCCTGGCTCTCCGATCTTCGCCGCCAGCTTACAGGTCAGCGCCAGGATGGCCACTCTCTGGTTGTCCATGCTGATGGCTTGCTCCCCCGTCCCCCTGCACCTACTCCCCTCCCTGCTGACCCCTCCTCTGATGACCGTGAGGCTTTCTCTACTGCTGCGCTGGCCTGTGCGGTCTGGGACTCACGCGATGCAGTAGCTCAGGTTGCTATTAGTCACGCCCTCCCTATGTCTGAGCGCTCGCGTTTTGCTACTGTTGAAACGGCCAAAGCTTATTTAGACGCCGTTATTGCTCGCTATTCCACCCCTGCCTCCGCTTCTGCTGGCCGCTTGCTCTTTCCGATGCTGTTCCCAGACCTGGCTGCCTTCCCTACTGTCGCAGATTTTGCCACTCATTTGCGTGCCCTAGAGACTCGCTATCGCACTGCCAGCACTGCTGCCCAGCTCACTGCGCTCCCCCCTCCTTTCTGCATGACGCTCTATTTTATCGCTATGCGCCTGCCAGACCGCCTCGCTAGTGCTCGCGACCACTTTCTTAGCCAGCACCCGGGTGACCTCACCCTGACCGCCTTTGTCGACACCCTCACTGAGATCGAGACTCGCCAGCGCACTATCGCTCAGTCGAGCGGTGCGCCGGCAGTCTCTATCTTTCACGGTTGTGCCCCATCCCCGTGCACGTTCACTGACGTTTCGGCTGCGGTCGCCACGGCGACCCCTCTTACCGAGACGGCTGCTGCTGTCCACCCGCAGCAGCGCTCGCGTCGCGGTGGCCGTGGCCGTGGCCGCCAGGGAGGTAGGGGTGGTGACGCAGGTGGTAGTGGTCGTGGTGGTGGTGACGGTAGTCCGCCTGAGGGGACTACCACCGGTGGGCAGGAGCAGCAGTCCCAGCAGCAGCAGGACCAGCCCCAGCCGCAGCCGCCGTCCCAGCAGCACCCGCCGCAGCCGTGGGCTCGTCTCCCGCCTGGTTGGCCCGGCACCTCCGGAGGCGGTGGCCGTGGTGGCGGCCCGCGCAGCTTGGCGTCTACCAGCGGCTCCAGTGCTGTGACCTGCCAGTACCAGCTTCAGACCGGGCCTCTCCGCGGCACTCTGTGCCGCCGCCCGCACCCGACCGCCCACTGTTTCCGCCGCCTCGACGATCTTTTTCGTCGTCGCTTTGGCCCGGCCCCGGACCTCCCTGACTGGCACAGCCTGCTCCGCCAGGGCGTGCCGATCTTTGAGTTAGACATGGATCAGATAGGTGCTGCTTTGCATGCTTTGTATGCTGACGCTTCTAGTGTTGATGGATCTTACTACCATGTGTACTCTAGTTTAGGTGTTTCACCCTTGTGTAGCTTAGCTTCCCCTGCTGCGACAGGCGTAGGACTGCCTAGGTTGCCTAGTCTAGTCGCTGCACCGGCTCCGTCCGCGGCCTCCGCCACTGCGTCGCTGTCCTTCACTCTCGACTCTGGTGCTTCTGCCTGCTTCTTCCGCGACCGTTCCACGCTCACGCCGCTTGCTGCACCTGCTGTTGTCTCTCTCGCTGACCCCTCTGCGGGTCCGGTCGTCGCGCGCAGTTCTACGTCCCTTCCCTGTCCGGCAGTTCCCTCGGGCTCCCTTACTGGCCTCCACGTTCCCTCGTTCTCCAGGAACCTGGTTGGTGTCGGCTGTCTCCAGGACCTCGGCGTCACCACCACGTTCCCCGGGCACGAGCGGTTCGCTGTCTGTTCTGAGGCTGTCTCAGGTTCCCCCCTTGCGACGTTCCCCCGGGACCCGGTGTCCGGTCTGTTTACCCTACACACCGCTTCCCCCCCGGTTGGTGCGTCCTCCCAGGTCGCTGCAGCTTGCTCGTGTCGGTCCCTCACTCACCCCTCCCTTCTCTGGCACCACCGCTTAGGTCACCCTGCTCTCCCGCGTCTGCGTCACATGTCCCAGCACGGTCTTGTCTTAGGTCTCCCCGCGTCGCTCCCTGCCCTTCCTCCCTCGACTGCGCCACCGTGCACGCCTTGCGTCGAGGGTCGGCTCCGCCGTGCTCCTCACTCCTCCTCGTTGCGTCCTGCTACTGCCCCCCTTCAGACCCTGCACTTGGACGTTTGGGGCCCTGCCCCCGTCCCCGGACCGCGCGGTGAGCGCTACTTCCTTGTGCTCGTTGACGACTACACGCGCTACACCACGGTGTTTCCCCTGGAGCGGAAGGCCGACGTGCCCGACGTTCTTCTCCCGTGGGTTGTAGCTGCGCGTCTCCACCGCGGTCTCCCCGTGTTGTGTCTCCACTCCGACCGTGGCGGCGAGTTCGCCTCTGGTCGGCTTGGACAGTTCTGTCGTGCGGAGGGCATCACCCAGTCGTACACGTTGCCGGACTCGCCACAGCAGAATGGGGTTGCTGAGCGCCGCATCGGCTTGGTCATGGAGGTCGCCCGTACCTCCATGATCCATGCCGATGCCCCCCATTTTCTGTGGCCGTTCGCTGTTCGCTACGCGGCTCACCAGCTTAACCTGTGGCCACGCTCCCAGCGGCCGCAGGTTTCGCCGACCCTCCTTTGGACCGGGTCCCCCGGTGACGCGTCTGCGTTCCACGTCTGGGGCTGCCTTGCTCACGTTCGTGCCTCTGGCACGGACAAGCTCACTGCCCGCACTGTCCCCTGTGTCTTCCTCGGTTTCCCCCTGGACTCGTCTGACTGGCTTTTCTACCACCCGCCGTCTCACCGCTTCCTCCACTCTCGTGACGTCACCTTTGACGAGTCCGTCTCCTTCTACCGCCGCTTCCCTCACCGAGGTCTCCCAGTTGCCCCCCCCCTTTTCCTTGCTCCCTCTCCCCCGGTAGCCCCTGCCCCTCTCCCGCCTCGTCCTGCCCCGTCTGGTGTCTCCCACGTCACTCCCCTCCCGTCGGTTGTCCCCGTTGAGGAGTCTGCTGACTCTGGTGGTACCCCCGGTCCGTCCTTGCCGCGTCCCCCTTCCCCAGTGCCTCCGCCCCCACTGTCGCAGTCGCCGACCCCGCTGCCGCCGCCGTCGCCGTCGCCGCCGCAGCCGTCGCCGCTGTCGCCGCCACTGCCGCCGCTGCTCTCGGCCCCTGGGGGTGCTGGTGTGGAGGAGGGTGTTCGTCCTGCGGCTTCTGGGGGTGCCGCTGGTGTTGGAGGGGGTTCTCGCTCTTGGGGTGTTGGTTCTGGGGGTGCTGCTGTTGAGTGTTCTGCCGACGGTCGTTCTGCCTCTGCTGGTCCGAGAGTTCCGGCCCAACCGTCGTCGCCGCCACAGCAGCCGTCGCCGCCGGTTTCCGCTCTCCGCCTGCTCGGCCTTCCCTCCCCGGACCGCGCGCCGGTGTCTCCCCCACCGCCTCCTGACCTCCCTGTCTACGGTCCTGTGTTCCCGCCGCCAGACTCGTCTCCGGCCCGTCTTCCTCCTCGTTCCCCTCCTGTGTCTCCTCCGCTGTCCCCTGACCCTACCCCTCCGTCTCACGTTTGGGCTCGCCGTCCCTCCCGTGCTCGTCCCGTCTCTCCTGTCCTGCCCACCCACCCTATGTTGCTC